AACATCTGTATATACATGCATGTTTCAAGCGCTGCTCGCTCGGTCTCTTCTGTACTAATCCACCGCCGTTCCGTGTACTCCGCCTGCCCTCCTCAAAGCTTTTCAACCTTCACCCCCTCCACCAGACTGGCTCTGAGAAAATGGTCTGTGTGAATAGTCTTTGTTTGTTGTTGTGATGGGCCGTGGGAGGCTGGCCAGGGCATTCCGGAGAGTCTGGATGACCCTCGCTCTCGATGCCAAGCTGTACCGAGCACCCGACTTTCCTCCCCTTCCCCCTCTCCCCCTTCACGCAGTGAGGACCCCGAAAACGGCGTGCGGCACGAGCCTGCAAGCAGCAATCTGCTCCGGCTGGAGGTCGGAACGGCCAAACCCGATTCAGGCAGCCACGCGTCTTCTGTCTTCTCTCCGCGTCTTGAGGCTCTTCCCGCCTCCCTCCTCCACTCTCTTCCTCCATCCCCCCTCTCTGGAGACTTGGGGACCTACACGGGGAGCTCCCGAATGATCTGAGGCCCCGATCGCGGACTCACAGATGGGCGGCAATCTGAGGCCTTCGTCAAACTTCGAGGCCCCAACTTTTCGGGGGTTTCTCGGAAGGTTTCTGGTGGGATTTTCAAACATAGTGCGGTCTTTAAATATGGTGCGCCGGAGCCCCCCGAAAACTTGCCGAGTTGGCGTTTTTTCGGGGGTTTCCCCCTGGAGCTTGGGCTGGCTGGAGAACCTCCGAAAACCTTTCGAAAACCAGCCGATTTGGGGGATTTTAAAATTTTTGTTCGAGGGTATCCGGGGAGGGGTTTCAGAAGAAATATAGTTTTTCATTGTGGGGGTCCGACCCCCAAGAAAAACATGCGAACAAAAACATTGTTTTTTTTTTTCTTTCTGGGGGGGGGGGTCAGAAATACTATTGTTTTTAATTGTGGGGCCCTGGAACCACCCGGAAAAATCAATTAAAAACCTAGAGTTTAAGGGGTTTCCGGTTTGTTTTTTTGGGTGGGTGGGCCAAAAATAATATTGATTTGTATTGTGGGGCCCCAGAGCTCGCCGACCCCCCCCGAACAAATTACTGAGTTTGGTTTTTTTCGGGGGTTCTTCGGGGGGGTATTTTCCAGGTTTGCAGAAATAGTATTGGTTTAACTTGTGGGGCCCCAGAACCCCGCGAACCCCGCCCGAAAAGCCACCAAACCGTTTTTTTGTTCGGGGGTTCCCCCCCGGGAGGAACCTTCGAAAAACTACCGAAGCAAAAACCCCTTGTTGGGCACCTCGGTCAAGCACGTCGAGCACGTACTCCTTGACGTCCGGCAGCTTGATCTCCACCAGCTTGGTGAAGATAGAAAAAGAGAATATCGGCATAAAGATAAACTTCTGGCGCTCCGCGCGGATTTCTTGCATCTGCGCTGGACCCCCTTCCCTGGCGCGCGGGGCGCGCCAGGGGCGGCGCCAGAGGCGCCGCCAGGGGGGGCCAGGCGCCGATCCAAGAAATCCGCGCGGAGCGCCAAAAGTTTATCTTTACGGCGATTTTTCTTCTTCGAGAAGAGGGCGGCGAGATCTGCACCGTCGGCGAGATTCTGCATGGCCTTGCGGATCTCCGTCGCAATCTTGTTGTTGCCAGGCTCGATGGGCACCTGCCGCCGGCGGCCGAATTGTTTCATGGTCAGGGGCGCTTTCTGCACGGCTCCGTCGGCGCCGTTGCTTCTCCCTCGCTCTGTGTGCTTCCCTTGAGGGCTCTCACCGTCCGGAGGGGGGTGCTCCTTCGCGTGGCCAAGCTGCTTTCTGTCTGACATGCCCCCGTCGGCGGACTCCATTCGTGCCTTGGGTGCCCTCACTCCCCGCGCCCATGCACTTCGCCCACAAGCTTTCGCTGTCTACCCTGCGCGCGTGCTGCACTTCCCGGCATCCTCGCGCGCCTCTTTTGCGTCTTCCCCGAGCCGCTTGCTGGATGATTGCTGCTCGCGCGGGGAATCTCTTTGGGACTCGCTTGCCATCGCTTTTGGACGTCCGTGCCCCGTGCACTTCTGCGGTGTCGTGCGGAGTCTTTTCCCCCAAAAGATGGTCCAACGTGCTCCCGGACGGTCTGGACCTTCTGGCGCTGGCCTCGCCGAGACGAGTGCCCACGCTGGAGCGATGCCAAATCGTACAGGGCAATTTTTACTACATGGGATTATTTTTTAGAATATAGGATTTTAATACATGACTAATGTATGAATGAATTTGTGCATGAACTCATCGTTGCTTTTAATACTAAATCCTGCATTTTTAATAGATGATCCGCACGCGGAACATGTATTCAAAACGGCACTGTACCATCCTCATCCTGATACGCCTGGTGCACATCCCGGCTCTTCCTCTTCGCGTGGGTTCTCGTGAACAGAATGGAACTCCGTGCTCTTGAGCAGGCATGTCGAATGTCATTTCGGCCGCTGGGGCGACTTTGCGATACTGCACCTCGTCTTGGTGCATGTTCTGATGTGGCCTTCTTCCTCTGGGACCTTCACGCTGTCTCTCGAGGGCTGTCGTTTTTGTCCGAGCGGTTCCACGCCAGGAGCGCCTCTCCCCCCTGGAACGCGTTTCTTTGTCTCGGGGCAGGGGAGCGGCGGGGTGGGACAGGAGGGTCCTTGAAGGGCCGTCGGTGGGGTTCGGCGGCGAGCGAGGAGGGGAAGTGAGAAGGAGAAGGCCTTCTCAGAAGGCGGCGGGGCTTCTCAGAAGCCCTCGCGCCTTCTGAGCAGCTTTTTGTGCCGTCGGGGAGAGCTTAGAACACTTCTCAGAAGGCCGGGGGGCTTCCGAGGCTTCTGAGAAGGCCCACCCCTCCTCACTCTCCCCCCGCGTTAGCCGCCGAGGGGTGCGGAGCATCACCCAAGGTAAGCGCGGCATTCAAAGCACGGCACGCGCGGCACCGCGCGCACAGCACATGTTTTCCGGAAGACTGCTGGGAGTCCCGAATCCGAGACGAGTGAAGACGGGGGATTCTTTCTTCGCAAGACACCACGGGTGACACAACCACATCGCGAGTCAAAAGGTCGCTAGACGAACCGGGAACTCCGCACAAACCGACCTGCAACTGGCAAACTCATGCTGCGAACCGTGGCCTGAGCAACACATCGACAATGCAGTTGCGACAGGAGGGAGGAGAGAGGAGGACAAAGGACGAGGAGGAGGAGGAGGACAAGTAGCAAGATGCAGCAGGGACCAGCCTCAAATCGAGGATATGACGATACGCCCTAAATCCCACCAGCCCTCTGGGCGTAGGTGCTCTAGGGCGGTTTCTCTTCCGACCCCTCCCTCTTCCCCTTCGGGGATGGGTTTACCCCTCGTCCTACCTCCTCCCCTGGATCTGGAGGGGGGGCTTCGCGAGCGATCAGAGCATCGAAGATAGCCCAAGATGGCTCTAGGAGGGCCTCATAAAGCCCAATATGACCTCCAAGATGGCTCAAGATAGCCCAGGATGGCCCCCACGATGCTCCAAGAGGCCGCAAGACCGCTCCAAGACGGCTCCGAGTGGCCACGGAGCCTCCCCAGGAGGCTGCCAAGAGGCCCAAATCCTTCAACCCCCTAGAGGCAATCAATGATTTTTGCCTTCTCGCCTCTTCGCTTCCGATAGCCTTCCGAGGCCTCAAGACAGCTCCAAGGGGGCCCCTGCGGGTCCAAAAAGAAGCCCAAGAGAGCCCCAAGACGGCCCCAAGAGCGCCCCAAGAGGGGCGAGGGAGGACCGTAAATGAAGCTCCCATCTTTTTTGATCGATCTCCTCTAAGATGGCCGCAAGAGCGCTCCCAAGGCTCCCACGAGCGCCTCAAGAGGGCCCCAAGAGGCGCCCAGGAGGCTCCAGGAGGTGCCCAAGAGGCCTCCAACGAGCTCCCAAGAGACTTCTAAGAGGCCCCGAGAGGGCTTCCCGAGCCACCCAAGACGCTCCAAGAGGCACCCTGGACCGCCAAGAGGCCCCAAGACGCTCCACGAGGCATCCAAAAACTTCCAAGAGACTCTGAGAGGAAACTCGCCTCGGCATCGATCGTTTCTGGATGGGCTGGTGGGGTTACTTTGGTCGTGGCCGCGAGCGAAGAGCGCAGGCGGCGAGAGAAGTTGTCCGGGCCTACGGGCAAACCTAATTAGCTGCAGGGCGCAACTCAGATCGGCCGGGCCTCTGGTGGGGTTACTTTTTTTGATCTGCGGCTCCAAGGACGATTCCAGAGAGCGGGTCGTATCGAGAATGGGGCAGCACGCAAGATAATTGCCAGCGGGCCAAAAGCCAACGCCGGAGTGCACATGCACAGAACAAAATGAACTAAGTTCAGGCAGACGCATCTTAGCGTCGAAATGCGAGGAGTCGCCGAGACGGCGCCAGCTCAACACGACAAAATATATTCATGGGCCGGTACAAAGCGAAACCCGACCAGCCCCAATATAAGTCGTCGTCTTCAGGGAGATGCATCTTAGCGTCGAGCATGTGAGGTGTCGCCGAGACGGCGCCAGCTCAACAGGAGGAGAGAGGGCGGCGACGAGGGGAGGGAGGGGAGGAAACCAGGCCTCACTCACAGAACACCTCACGTGTTCGAGTCTCACTCACGGAGCGCTCGAAGCGGGTTCCACTGAACCAGGCACCTGAGGAAAAGACGTGAGGACCCAACATGGCGAGGTCGGAAAGGAGGCCAGGCGACACTGACTGACTCTGGTGGGGTTACGCGAAACGTCAAGAATTGACCTGCTGCCTGTCGAAGGCGCTGGCGGGGGCGGACAAACTCGGCCCCCCTGCGGCAAACAGAAACAAGCAGATCCGAGGGCCGAGGGGAGACGTGGAGGAGGGGAAGGGGCGAAGAGACAGCGAGGGTTCAAGATCCGATCTCAGGGCGAGCACCGCAATCTCCACGCGCGGCTGAGTGACGATGGGATAATGACAGGCGACGCTGAGCCATTAGCCATCCAGCTGGAACTTTTCCCTGTGGACTGCCATCGGATGCTCTGATGCGTCCTGCTGAAGCCACGCGTTGTTCAAAACACGACTTGTCGTGCCGAAGTCACTTGCTGGCTGGCTTGAGGGCCCACCACTTCTCCTCCACCGCAGCCCGCGCGGCTGCCTCGTCACCGCACAGCCGCCAACTGGCGTGCGCGACGGCCAACCCCCTCCGCTCCGCTGCGGCCCGCACGCTCATTCCGCTCCACCGCGGCCCGCGCGACCGCCCCGTCGTCCCACGGCGGCCATCTGGCGTGGACGAGGAGGCCGCTGCCGCCCACTGGCGTGCTCGATGGCCAGCCTGCTCTGCTCCACTGCGCCCCCCCCCGATCTTCGCGTGCTGGCGTGCTCGGGGGCCTGCCTGCCATGCCAAATCGAAGTCTGCGCGACCTCGCCGCTGCCCCGCAGCCGCCCGTTGGCGTGCCCGAGGGGTGGCCCGCACAGCTTTGCCGCGGCGTGCGCGACCGCCTCGTCGTCCTGCAGCCGTGCGCTGGCCACGGCCAGACCTTGCCCGTCCTGCTGCACCGTCGCCCACGCGATCGCATCGTCGTCCTGCATTCGCTCGCTGGCGCGCTCGAGGGCCAGTCCTCTTTGCTGCATGGCCTGCAATGCGACTTTCAATGGCCCGGGAGCACAAATTTAGCTCCTGGTACGGGGGGGCGCCCCTGAGCCCCCCTGCTGCCATGTTGGTGCTTTCTCGCGGCGTCCACGCTGCGCGCCACCAGCCACGCTCTCGCGTGTTGGGCAGTCAATCCGAACTCGGACCCTTGAGGGTCTTCCAGGACGCCGTCGGGTGCGTGCGCTGCGGATCGCTGGAGTTGCCCCGCGCCCGTTCGCTCTACGCGCGCGCGCGCGGGGCCAAGCTGAAAAGATGGCTTCGGTGAGCATCCCTGCTGCTCGCCTGCCTTCGGCACAAGGCGGGCGAGCCACATGCGCGCGGGAACATGTGCCCGCCGTTGGTGGCGTTCTGGTGGGCGCGGGCGGGGAACGCGGAGGTTTGGGGGCCCTCTGGGGCCCTAGATCTCGGGTGGAGCCAGTGCGCGCGTGGGTGCTGGCCCGAGCACCGCTAAGGGTGACGAGTGCTGCGGCTGCCCATGCGAGCTGTGTAGCTGCGACGAGCGCCGCCCTCCTGTGTGCTCCGACAAGGTCGCGCACCATCTTATTACGCGCGACCCAGTTCTCGGATTCAGCGCTCGCCATCTTCACATGGGTGCTAGGAGTGCGCTGCGCTGGCTCTGTGCCAATGCACAAACAGATGGTGTGCGGCAACCCAACAGCAGAGCTGTTACGGTAAAACACGGCTGCGGACGTACTGGTGAAGGAAACGACGCCATTGCTCAGAACATTTTGGATCATGGTGATCAGCTGCGCGCTTCGCACGAGCATGTACACGTGGCCGCTGCTGTACGCCCAGGGGTAGTCCAACCAGCGCGTCGCCTGGTTCACTGGCCACGCTGTGAGTGCTCGCCAGGTGGCCCGCAGCTGTGCCGTCTGTGTGAATGCAGTCGGGGACTGCCTGCGCCTCCGCAGTGAGCATGAGATGGCTCACGGCGCGGGAAGCTTCCACGCACCGACGACGCCCTGCAGAAGCTGGGGGACGGAAGCGATCACACCGTCTCTTACACTCCACGGCAACGTCGACGCCGCTCTTGATGGGTCCCTTCTTCATGTTCAACCGTCGTCCTCCGTCGTCCTCGCCGTTGTCTTCCTCCTGCTCCTTCCCTCCCTCGTCGTTGCCGTCGTCCCTCCTCTTCGTCGTCTTCCTCCACTTTGTCTCTCCCCGTCCTGCTTTGAGTTTTTACCTCCTCCTCGTCCTTCTCCTCCGCCTTCTCCAACGCATACCTCATCATAGTCTTCCCTTTCCGCTTCCAAGCTTTCATGTGGGGGATAAAAAGGGACAAGCGACATATGGCAAGGCACTGTGACCCGACGCACCAGGAACTCCCAGATCACAACCAGTCCCAACTCATAATGTTTATATGGGCAGTATTGTGTACGCATGCATTCATCATGACACACATGCGTATACGTGTGGAAACATATTTGTGTAGGATGTTCAGAGGAGACGTCCATGGGATAGTCCACAATAGCGAAGGGCTACCAAAAACGGTGGCCGCGCTCTGGCACGAATACTATCGTTCCTCGTGCAAGGGCACATGAGTTGGGGGTAGCCGTGGGGAGAGCTTACATTTCACAAGCGGCATGGGCGACCGAGGGAAACAACGTGTGGGCAATAGCGACAAACAAATGCGAAAGACCTGTCGGCCACCGCCCCAAACCCGACATTGCTCTGGCACAGGCACAAGAAGGAAGTGGGGAGGAGAAGGGGGAGGAGGAGAAGGAGGAGGTGGAGGAGGAGGAGGAGGACGAGGAGGAGGAGGAGGAGGGAGGAGGAGGGAGGAGGGAGGAGGCGGACGAGGGCGATGGGGACGTGGGGAGGGAGGTGTGGGAAGTGGTGTGCGTCGCGACGCGGAATAAAACGTTCGTGGCGTAGGAGGCTGTGGGCGGGGCTCCCTCTGGGGCGCTGGGGGCGCGGGGGTGCTCGGGGCAGAGAGCCACGGGGCGGGGGTCCCACTCTGGCGCTGGGGGCACGGGGGGGGGGGTCGGGGGTCCCACTGGGGCGCTGGGGACGTGGCGTGCGCCTGGGGTGCCCTGGGAGGGCCCTGGGAGGGCCCTGGGAGCTCTGGAATCGCCACGGAGTGCCTGGCGCGCCCAGGGGCGCCCTGGGCGGCTGCTAAATCACCGTGGCGTGCGCCTGGGGTGCCCTGGGAGGGCCCTGGGAGGGTCCGTGGCGTGCGCTGGGGTGCCCTGGGAGGGCCCTGGGAGGGCCGGAGGAGGGGGAGGATGAGGAGGTGGAGGAGGCGGAGGACGAGGAGGATGAGAAGGATGAGAAGGATGGGGATGAGGAGTAGAAGGAGGAGGGGGAAGAAGAGGGAGAGAAGGGAGTGGAGGACCAAGGGGTAGAGGAGGAGGAGAGGAGGAGGAGGAGGAGGAGGAGGAGAGGAGGAGGAGGAGGAGGAGGAGGAGGAGAGGAGGAGGAGGAGCAGGAGGAGGAGGAGGAGAGGAGGAGGAGGAGGAGGAGGAGGAGGAGGAGGAGGAGAAGCAGGAGGAGGAGAAGGAGGAGGAGGAGGAGGAGGAGAAGGAGGAGCAGGAGGAGGAGGAGGAGGGAGAGGAGGACGAGGAATGGGAGGAGTCCAACCCTCTACCACAGGCTCATCGACGGGCCGAAATCCCACCTTCTGGCGCCGAAGTGGGGGAAGCTCATGCAAGACGTCGGCCTTCTTACGCCGGATCATAACGGAAGACGTCAACATCAAATTCAGCTCGTTCGCGTTCCTCGCGCCCGTGATCTTTTTGAACACCTCGGGGCTGGCGGCATTTTGTCAGGGCAAGCAGGTGGCGATGGGCGGAGTTCAAGCATCCACTCTGGATGTCGAAAGCAGTGCTCCAGCCAAACCTGTGAGCCTGCTTCCCATCCTCAGCCATCTCCGCTCGTTCCTCACAGCGCGCCTCATTAACCTCTCGGAAGCAAGCCCTGCGGCCTAAAGGGGATGCAGTGGCGAGCGATGTAGAGAGGTTCCTGCTGGAAGTTCAATCAAAGCACACAAGATACAGTGGCCGAGAGGGGATCGAGCACGTCAACTGCAAAGTGCACGCCAAGATCTCCATGAGATAAAGGATCGCAAAGCGGACTGGCCCGTCCGTGGCACATTCCTCATCTAACACGCTCACCACAACGGAACGCGGCGCTCGCAAGGGCACGCGGGAGACAGCGGAGACCAGCAATACTTGCAAACACACTCTATGCGCTAGATGTCTGGCAGATAAAGAAGCCGAGATCAACGAACGAAAACTCCCAAGGTTCCCTATCTGCCCGCTGGGCAGCCCTCACCGTCAACAGCGTGACGAGAGCGCCGGCCGACCGAAGAGGCAGAGGAGCCGACCCAGAGCTCGGTCTGCTTCAGGCTCGCCCGCCCCCCGCTCTCTGATGGACAGCCTATCGGCCGTGCAGGCGGTCCCGCCGTCGATAGGATATGCTCCAGCCGAGGAGCGCTGGCACCTCGGGGCAAGGCTTAGGTCGGGCAAGTCCCCCTAAAGGCGGATTTTGGGCGAAAATTTCGAAATACTCCAAACGTGCTCAAAAAAAGTTATTCCCAAATGCTAAAAAAATCGTTCCCATACTATTTTTGAATCTTCCCCCTGTCGAGGGACACGCCCGACTTAAGGCAAGGCCCCCAAAGGGTCATGGGCCTGGCTTCTTCCCAGCCTCCTCCGTTGCCCCCCCCCCTCTCGGGATCCACCAACAAGGGGGGGTGACCCTGAGAGGGAGGCATGAGTTCGATCCGCTGATGCACCGAACTGCCACAAACAGATGCCCCCCGCATGCCCCGCCTATCGGCAACTGTCGGGAGCTGCCGGCGGCTGGGGGGCATCTGTTTGGGGCGGTTCGGTGCAGAAGCCGATCGAACTCACACACCCCCAGGGCCCACCTCCCCCCTCTTTTGCAGGATCCCCAACCTCCCTCCCCGCCTCCTTCACTCCTGCCTGTCTCGTCCTTGCCACCTTCATTCCCTCGCTCCTATCTGCCTCCTCCCGCCGCCGGCTGTTCCCCATCGGGCGCGAGCAAGGGTGCTCCCGCTGGGGCAATGGACGTAAGGAGCCATCGCGGGGTGTCCAAGACACTGCATGAGGTCCGAAGCGGCGCGTCGACGGCGAGGCCGTCGCAAGCCATCGCAGGCGCCTGCGACATGTGAGGGTCCACCGGGAGGCTCCATGCCCCAGGCCCTTCCCACAACTACCCTGGTAAAGCGGCGGTCCCAGAGGGGCCTTGCAGCAGAGGCAAAGGCAACGGCACTGGCAAGAACATGTCGGAGGTTGTCAGATGGTCCTGGCCCACGGTGCCCCGAACTTTTTGCATTATTTTGGAACTGCCGGGGCCCTTTCGGCCTCTCGTGCTCTGGAGGCCATCTGGGCCTCCATGGCCTATATGGGAACGCTAGGGTCTTCTTGGGCCAGGGTACCGCTCCCACAACGCCCGACCAAAAGCAGAAGCGTGGCCGCTGGGCGACAACCACAATCGCTAACGTAATGAAAGCGGGGGCACCTGGCCGGTCCCGAGACGGACGTTCTTCTCGATGCAGTATCTTCTGCGGAAAGACGCGTAACTGAACAACCCTGGCCTTGGCATGCCATTCTGTGCCGGTCGGGGCGCCATGATCCTGCTTCGTCCGAGCGGTTGTCGCTGACCATGGACTCCGTATAGGAGGGTGTGACGCGCACTGTTTGCTGGACGCGCGTAGTGCAAGGGCATATCATGTGCGAGCTCGTGGTTGTGCATGTCTGCGCGTGAGTGCATATGTATGTATGTATGTATGTATGCATGCATGCATGCATGCATGCATGTATGTATGTATGTATGTATGTATGTATGTATGTATGTCTGTGTGTATATGCATGTATGTATGTATGCATGTATGTATGTATGTATGTATGTATGGATGCATGCATGCATGCATGCATGTATGTATGTATGTATGCATGTATGTAGGTATGTATATATATGTATGTATGTATGTATGTATGTATGTATGTATGTATGTATGTATGTATGTATGTATGTATGTGTATATACATATATATATATGTGTGTGTGTGTGTACGTGTGTGCGCACGCGCGGTATCTGGACAATATCCTTTCGCCTTGCCGGTTCACAAGGAGACGATTCTTTGCAATTGCGTCTCTTCGCGGTGCTCGCCGAGTGGGCCCTCTGGCGCGTCGAAAAAGAAAAGTGCGTGCGCGCGTTCCTGTCTGGAGCGTCGGGCGCTTTTTCTTGTTGGGCGGCGAGAACGACGAAGACGAAGACAAAGACGAGGACGACAAGCACGACGACGACGCGGACGATGCGGACGACGCGGACAACGACGACGACGCGGACGCGGACGACGACGACGACGACAAAGTCGGCGACGACGGCATGTCGACCAATTGGGAACACCTCCGGCTGCACGCCGAGCCTGCTCCGGCACATCCTGAAGAACTTCACGCTCTGAGGCCCCCCATGGCCGCGCGTGGCCGTATCCTCCTGTTCCGCCTGCCTCCGCGCGCCTTGCCTGTGCTCCAGTCCACTTGCCTGTCTTCACCTGCATTGCCTCCGCATGTGCCTTGCCTTGCCTGTGCTCTAATCCTTCTGTTCCTCCTACCTCCACTTGCCTGCATCCGCTTGCCTTGCCTCCGCATCTACCGCAGCCTGACCGCGACTCGGGCCCGAGACGCCGCTGGTCATAACGTGCGGGGCTCAGCTCGCGCTTCGACGCGACCCGCGCCACCACTCCTGCGGCCACCCCGCGGCGCCCGCCGACCGGGCGCCGCCCGCCCTGGACTTGCGTTGCCCTCGGCGTGGCTTCCCTGGCTCGCGGCCACTGCCTCCGCAAAGGGGGCCTTGGCCGGCCTCCGACCCCTCTCCTTGGAGGCGGCCAGGGTGTCTGACCTGGAGGGACCTCGAGAAAATTAGTCAGGAAGGGAGAATCGGTACCCAAACCCCTCCCGGGGTCCATCTGGTGAAGTTCTTCACGCCGGATCCGTGCCCCCTCTTAGCGCGCTCGAGATGGGTACGGAGAACAGGGGGAAGATGCCCGACCACAAATGTCACCCCAAATCGACAGCGGCCGCTCTTGGGCAGGCGACTTTGTGCCTGAAGTGGACAACGTCCGCGGCGGCACCGACAGCGAATCCAATTCAACACGGACCAGAGCTGCTGTCCGTCTCCGTGCCCATTCTTTCGGGGTGCCCACTTTGATCGTACTGGCCCCCGCACGCTTCAGCCCACCCAGCTAGGGCGAGCCGGCGCCCGCCGCCTGGCACGGCTCTCGACCCGAGGGCCCAAGGACTGGGCCCCGGGCAAGGCCAAGGGGGGTCACCACTGAGAGGGGGGTCGCCGCCTCCTCCAGGAAACGGTCCCAGCTGGAGCCCGCAGGATGCTCGAAGCCCAAAGGGCCTCTGGAGGCGCCCTCTGCTCTCTCAGAAGCCCCCCCCGCCCCCTGATTAGGCCGTCCCGGTCGCGCCACCCCGGCCAGCCACAACCGCGGGGGGCTGTGTCCTACCCTCCCATGAGCAAAACACCATCGCCTCGACGATCGCTCGACAGGGGTGCCGAGGCCGATGCCCCCCCCCCCACGAGGGGCCCGCGAGGACTCCAGCTCTCCCCACTTGTGGCTGGCCTGGGCACCCCCTCAGTGCTGTGCGCGCCGCCGTGCGATGGTCGCTCGTCGCTGCTGCCTGGCCGTGCCCAGGCCACCGAACCTCGCGCACCGCGCCCCCGCGATGCGCGATTCTCCTCGCGCACCTGCGCCTCCCCTCGGGGAAGAATTACAACTGCATAAAACAGCAAGCATTCACTTTCGGAGCTCGGCGCGGATTTCTCGGATCCGCGATGGAACCTCCCTTCCCTGGCGCGCGGAGCGCGCCGAGGGGCGGCGCAAGATGTGCTGCCAAGGAGGCCCCTCGCCGATCCGAGAACTCCGCGCGGAGCGCCGAACAGTTTACGTAAATGCCGTTTTTGTTCCCCTACCCTTAGGTCGGGCCTGTCCCCCATACAGTGGGATTTTGGACGAGAAATGCAAAATAGTTCCAAAGTGCTCCCAAAAAACTCAATTACTCCGACGGAAGAACCCCGCATAAGAATCCTCTGGGCGAATCTGGAAAAAGCCATCACCGTCGTCCTCGTGGTTGGTGAGGCGTCCTGGCTGTCTCTTCTGCGTATATTTCCTCTCGCCTTGGCGCGGGCCCCCCTTCCACTCCTTACGTTGTCCCCATCCTCGCCCCCCTGTTTGTTCCGCGCCCCGCCACCTCCTCCCCTTCCTGTTGCATGAGCGCGCATGTCGATGTTCCTCGGCGCCGTCGCCGCCACGGCCAGCACAGGCGCGTTCTCTGCTGGTCACGTCGCGCAGCCGTTGGGACAACCCCGCGGGCCAGGCTGTCGGGACAACCCCGCGAGCCGTTGGCGCGCAAGACCAAGCCGTTGGGACAACCCCGCGGGCTTCGAGCGAGGCGCAGCCGCGCTCAGGCGGAAGGCAGCACGAAGCCCAGCTCTGCCGCGAGCTGCTTCGCCTCCGCCCTGGACAAAACCGCTCTCTTGTCGAACTCCAGGAGCGCCTTCCGCAGGGACGCCGGCGGCCCGCACTCCAGGAACTCTCGCGGCGGCGGCCGCAGGATCAGCATGTTCCGCATGCACGTGGCGCGGGAGAACATGACGTAGAGGTGCAGCCACCACTGCTCGTCCGACATGCCCGTGCGGCCAGCGTCCTCGTCTCTCGCGCAGTCGATGGTGACGCCCTTGCGCAGCGTCTGGCCCTGCGACAGCGTGGAGGTCAGGTAGGACGCGTGCGTCAGGGTGAACCCCGAGCGGCGGACGCTGTGCGCCCCCGAGCTCTGCCATGTGAACTCCCTTTCGCTGGGCCTGAACATCAGCAAGCTCCGCGCCCGCGCCTCGATCTCCCGCCTGAGACTTCCTCCCAGTTCACTCACAGACGAGGCTCCCGCCTGAGACTTCCTCCATATTCAGGCTTGAGGAGCCCAAAAGTGACGACAGTTACAGGTTCCGATGACCCGCTCGGATTACCAACATGATCTGCGGGCCCCATAGGGAGGGGGCTCCCGCCTGAGACTTCCTCACAATTCACTCACAGACGAGGCTCCCGCCTGAGACTTCCTCCAAATTCAGGCTTGACGAGCCCAAAAGTGACGACAGTTACAGGGTTCCGATGACCCGCTCGGATTACCAACGTGATCTGCGGGCCCCATAGGGAGGGGCTCCCGCCTGAGTTCCTCACAATTCACTCACAGACGAGGCTCCCGCCTGAGACTTCCTCCAAATTCAGGCTTGAGGAGCCCAAAAGTGACGACAGTTACAGCCCGATGACCCGCTCGGATTACCAACATGATCTGCGGGCCCCATAGGGAGGGGGCTCCCGCCTGAGACTTCCTCCAATTCACTCACAGACGAGGCTCCCGCCTGAGACTTCCTCCAAATTCAGGCTTGAGGAGCCCAAAAGTGACGACAGTTACAGGATCCGATGACCCGCTCGGATTACCAACATGATCTGCGGGCCCCATAGGGAGGGAGCTCCCGCCTGAGACTTCCTCCCAATTCACTCACAGACGAGGCTCCCGCCTGAGACTTCCTCCATTTTCAGGCCTGGGGAGCTCAAAAGTGACGACAGTTACAGGATTCCGATGACCCGCTCGGATTACCAACATGAGCGGGCCCCACTCCCGCCTGAGACTTCCTCACAATTTACTCAACGATGATGAGGATGAGGATGATGAGTGGTGGTGAAGATGAGTGGTGGCGATGATGATGTTTGAATGAGGATGATGCCGATGCCGATGATGATGATGATGATGTGATGATGTTCGTGAGCGTGTGAGAGAGTGCGAGTGATGATGATGATGAGTATGTGAGTGACTAAGCATGTGAGAGAGCATCATCGATGATGCTGATGAGGTTGATGATGAGAGAGTGTGAGTGAGTGTGAGTGTGTGTGTGTGTGTGTGTGTGTGTGTGTTCCTGTTCCTGCGCGGGGTGTCCAGAGAAAACAAGAACCCCACTTTGGATGTGGGGAAAAATAGTCAAACATTCGTCCCTGGACCACGTTTTAAGTATTTTTGAATATTCCTCCTGTAGAGGGACAGGCCCGACTTAACCTGTCCCCACTTTTTGCCCCAGGCGGCGCGCGAAATGTGCTTCTCCTCCACGCCTCCGCGGGGCCCTCTTCCCTCTTCCTTGCGCACGCCGCGGGGCGCACACGCCCGAAGCGCAGGCGGCCGCGCGGCGAACCGCGGGGGATCCAAGGCTGCAGCAGCCCAGAACTCGTGGCCCGAGGCGAGAGCTCGGAAACCGTAAGGACGGCCGACAACCCCACCAGTCTCCAGGGCCCACCTCACCATGTGTACGCAGGCCCCTCCCAAAAGATAGATGGGATGGGAAAACCGAGAAGTTAAGAACGAGACAGAAACCCAGCGCTTCAACGTCAAGTAAGGGCAGCGACGCACGGACTGCGGTTCCCTTTCGCGCCTCCGCGGGGGTGCTCTTCCTCGTCCTCCTCCAGCACACGCCCCACGGCCGCGGGTGCTGTCGGACCGGGGTGCGCACCGCCGCCGCGCCACTCTGCCTAGGAACAAGACAGATGTGCGTGCGCCCTGGGGCGCCGGGTGACGGCGACTGGTCGCTCCCTCCCTGCCCGCTCGTGCCTATCTTTGCTCGTGGCGATCGAGGGTCGATCATCTACCAGAAGGCTGGAGCACACATGGCTGGGTTCACATGTGGAACGGCTGGAGGCCGCTCGCTGGATGCGAATGCGGAAGTCCAGCGTGCCGAGCGCTGGAAAGACGACGTCCGGCCACACGCGCATCCGGCCCTCGCCCAGGCGGGCCACGTTGTGTTGATCCAGCTTCCTGGCAAGGCGTTTCCGGACTTTCTGGGCCTCTGGGGACCTCCATGGGCATCCATTTTGGACGCCCGAAATGGGTACGGAAAAAATGGGTACAACGCCCGACAACAAATGCTGTCCCAAACCAACAGCGGCCGCTGTTGGGCAGGCGGCCTTCTGTCTCGAATGGACACAGGCCGCGGCGGCGTGGACAGCGAATCCTGTTCAAAATGAACAGGAACTGCTGTTGGGCATTGTACCCATTCTTTCCGTACCCATTTCGGGCGTCCAGATCCATGGTTCAAGCATGGGGGCGGTACTGAAACTTACCATCCAGGCTCGGTGTCCCGCGTCTCCCGCCCCTTCTCTGTGGAGCTCGGGTGCCCTTCCGTCGACGCTGGCCGCTCCGCCCCCTGGACGCTTGGCGAGGGCGATCAACTACTCTCCCCTCCCCTCCTCCTCCTCCTCCTCCTCCTCCTCCTCCTCCTACTCCTCCTCCTCCTCCTCCTCCTCCTCCTCCTCTTCATCGGGTTCCTCCTCCTCGTCGTCGTCCTCGTCCTCCTCCTCCTCCTCCTTCTCCTCCGTCTCCTCCTCCTCCTTCCACCCCTGCTGCTGTTGTCGCTGTGGCTGCGGGCATCGCTGTCGACAACGACGTTGCCCCCCTCCCACTCCCCCGACACCCCCAGTGGCGGTCGGGGGGGTTGATCAAACTGGGGACCTGTGCGCAGAAGGGCGGGCACGACGGCACCACGAGGCGGCGCCTCCGGAGGGCGAGGTAGCCAAGCCCTGCCTCCTCGGCCAACCTTCCCGCTGCCCCTTCGCATGGCGTGATCTTCCGACCTGAGCAGTCTTGCATCACGCCTGCCACGCCACCCCCCTCTGCTCTCTCGCGCTGCCTGCCCGCTCCTCCTCCCTCCTCGCCACGCCCCCCTCGTGCGGCCTGCCTCGCCGTCCCTCACCTCCGTGCGCTTGCTGGGGATTCGGGTGGGCTGGGAGGCTCGGGGTTGGAGCCTTCTGGAAGCAAGGCCACGCGATGAGCAACCGGCCATGATCGTCCACGACGCCCGTTGCCAAACTCATCAGGTCAGCGATTTTTGTGCCGTATGGCTTCGGACTGCTGTAGGTGGGGCCTTGGGAAGAATTGCGTCCTGTTCGTTGAGGCACCTCGGCTGGCGGCACGGACCTGTGTCAGGCCGCTGCCTTGCGCCGTGGAACGCTCGTGTCGGGCAGCGTTATAAGCTTGCTGCCATTTGAGCGTGGCCTAAGAGACGATGGTTGCGAGATCATTAACGTATTTGTTCTCTTGGTTGCTTCTGGCTCTTGCACGGTGTCCAAGTCACCCTATGGGGTGCTTGGCAAGGTTTCCTTGCCATTGGCTGACTGTCAAAGGAAGCCATTCACATAATTCTGTGGCCTGTACAACTGTCGCCTGACTGGCAGATCGGATGGTCTGGGGTGTGCTTGCAGTCTCTTAATACTGTATTAGATATTGGCTTGGCTCTTGCCGATGCGACAGAGCAGTCTGTTTTTCTTATCCCCGCCGACTGTGAGGTGGCGTCGGTGCACAGGTAATGCTAGTGCTGTGTGCGTTCGAAGACTGTCTGCTCCAGATATCGGCCAATTTGAAAACATAGCGGAGTTGTGGTGTGTTTGTGTGTACCAGTGAGGTACCTCTGTGGGTCGGCACCGTTCGCCTGCAATGCTGGCTGATGTGCCACTGGTGGTTGCGCGCTCAGCAGGATTGCCACGCTCTGTCGCGTCCACCTTCTCCCTCCTTTCCTCCTTCCACCGCTCCTGGCGGAAACAGCGCTACATCGGCCGCATCTGCTTTGGACCGCAGCCTGCACCCCACTTTTTGGTGTGCGGCGTATCGGGTCCGAGTTGCGGTTCGGAGACAGCAGGGCTGTCACTGTGCTACCTGGGCACGGAAGCGGCAAGGCGGCGGGGGGAGAAGGGGAGGGAGGGTCGCGGGCGGCTGGAGAACCCTCCGAGCGCGAAGAACTTCGCGTTCTGCCGTGTAGTTAGCAGTACGTCCGAACTTGCTCTGTCTCACGCGTCTTCTCTGTGACCTGCATGCATCTTCTGCATGCTCGCAGATCGGTTGTGTTTCCCACACCCGCCCGCTGCTCTCGACGCAGATCGGTCTCCCCATCCTCAAGGCAAGATGCAATTCATATGCTCGCTTCCAGTTCGTTATTCCATCGCTACTGTGGTGCCTCGTCACCGGCGGAGGAAAAGTGCACTGGTGAGACCCTGGTGGCCTCAGAGCCCCTGGGATGCCGCCAGGAGAGCCCAATATGGCCCCCGAGTGTCGCCCAAACGTCCCCCAAACTGCCCCAGCATAGCCTCACTGTTGCTGAAACTGGGGGGCCAGCGGCAATGGGCCTGCGTATTCCTCCACCTCCACCTCCACCTCCTTCTCCTCCGCCTCCTCTTCCCCCCCCCTCCTCCTCCTCCTCCTCCACCTCCTCCTCCTCCTCCTCCCCCTCTGCCTTTTCCTCCTCCTCCTCCTCCTCCACTTTCTCCTCCTCCTCCTCCTCCATTCCATTCCCTTATAACTAATTTCTCCCTGTCGCACCCCGAGGCCAGTTTTTAGGGCGGGCTGGGCGTTTCGCATGAGACTTCCTCACCACTTATGGCTCTGAAGCTTAACAGTGGCAACAGTTGCACAGATGGAGGGCGGTTGGTTTTCAAAATGTGGCTCTCGCCTTAGCGCCGCGCGCATTCGTTGAACAACAATTGCAAGAGCTTCACGGATTGAAGATACTCTGTTTCAAAATGTGGCTTCCGCCTAAGCGCCGCGCGCATTCGATAAACAACATTTTTAGGAGTTTCACAGATGAGGGCGGGCGGTTTTCAAAATGTGGCTCTCGCCTTGGCGCCGCGTTCATTTGCTTTTGAACATTTGCAATTTCACGGATTGAGGGCGGGTGGTCTTCAATATGTGGCTCTCGCCTTAGCGCTGCGCGCATTCTTTTCAAACGTTCGTAAGAGTTGCACTGATTCAGGGCGGGTGGCTTTCAACATGTGGCTCTCGCCTCAGCGCCGCGCACATTTTCAAAGTATTTTTAAACAGCCATGATCTATATAAGCTTGCAAGAGCTTCACGAGTTGAGGGCGATTCTTTTTCAAACTGTGGCTCTCGCCTTAGCGCCGCGCACACTCGTTTTAAACATTTGCAAGGGTCTCACGGACTCCCATGACCAACGTACCAGAAATTGTTTGGGAAGGATTCAAGATTTTGCGGGTGCAACAATTATGTTGATTCGCGGTGTTGAAGTATCATAAATGGCGTTCTCGCACGGTTCCAGATCGTCAGGACGCAGCAGTCAGAGTGGCGTGGAACTCCCGAGAACAGTGTTTTGGCATGCTTCAAGGTCCTCAAACGGTTGTCTTCCAACGAGGCAATTTCCTCAATGGAAGTGAACTGTTGTTGGGGCCTATGCAGAGGGAGCTTGGAGGGAGGGTTAATCCCAACATCGTTGATGACTCTTGGGTTTACACTGGTCCTTCTCCTTATCCTCCTCCTCCTCCTCTTCCCTTCCCGTCTCGCTCCTGCTTCTACCGCTGCTGCTCTAACTCCGACTCGTGCTGCTGCTCGCTCCTCTCCCCCGCCCCCCTCCCCCTCAACCTCCTCCTCCTCCTTCTTCTCCTCCGCCTCCTCCTCCTCCTCCTCCTCCCCTCCTCCTCCTCGTCCTCGTCCTTCTCCTCCTCCGCCTCCTCTGAATCCTCGTCGTCATTTCCCCCCCCCCCCCCCTCCGTTGGCCCTGCCTCCGCTTCCGGGGCCCGACCCGCGCCCGCTGAGGCCCCCGCAGCTGGAGGCCAGCCAGCTGCGCGTGCAGCTCGTCGGGAGTGTTCCTCGTGGGCGTGCCTGGCGCAGGGAGCCGAATAAGAAACGTACGCAAGCGCCGAACCACGTACTTGCCTGTGCACACGCACATGTATGTATGTATGTATGTCTGTCTGTATGTATGTATGCATGCATGCATGTATGACGCTATGGTTGTATACATGGTTTATGCATGTGTGCATGTATACATGCATGCATGTGTGCAGGTATGCATGCCTGTATTTTTTTCAGGTGTGTAGGCATGTATGTATTTACGTACGCGTGTCTGTATGCATGAATGTACGCAGATATCTGTGTATACATGTATGCATTCACGTACGTATGTTTGCATGTACGTATGTATGCATGCATGTTTGTCTGCCTGTCAGTCTGCCTGTCTGTGTGTATGTATACAGATGTGTGTGCATGTATGTGTGCCTGCATGTATGTAAGTACTTAAGTATGTACGTAAGTATGCATGCATGCATGTATGTAAGCATGCATGCGTATGCATACGTGCTATATGTATGTATGATGGCGATGCATGCTTGGCGTTGGCTGGTGCATCTCTGCGGCCGCGCCAACCCAAGCACGCGCGCGCAGCGGCCAGCTAGCTTGGCGCGATCGACGCGGCCGCGGTGGCGCTGACCGCTGGGTAAATCCCAGCGGGCACTTCACTGCGAATCGGCGACTTCAGAGGGCGCGGTATCATGGCAACGCCGACAACGGTAGACACGATGACGATAATAGCGATGCTGGTGACGATGTTGACAACGACGCAAGCGCGGCCATTGCGGGCGCCGATGCTGATCACGCCGACGACGATGACGGCGTCCGTCGGTGATGAAGGTTTTGGAAGGAGTTCGACATGCGCGCGCGGCCGACGCGCGCGAGTGGTCCGCGTGGTATTATTAAGTCGTTTCGCTCATTCTGCCGGCCCATCTTGCATCATTGGTGCTATATGTTTGTGTGTGTTCGTGGCGGGCGAAAAGGTGAAGGAGGAGGACGTGGAGGAGGAGGAAGAGGAGGAGGAAGAGGACGGGATGAGAATGAGGAGGAGGAGGTCTCTGGAGAGCTTTTTGTGTCAAATTGGGGCGAAACTGGTCATGGACAAGGCGCCTCTTTGGGAGTCGCTTGGGGTCTTCTGGGAGGCCTCTCGGGGATTGAGGGTCGTTGACGCAGAGGGGGGAGGAGGAGGAGAGGGAAGAAAAAAGAAAGGGTTGGTGAGACGATAGGAGGCCTCTTTTTGGGTCTTGGTGGTATGTCTGACGCCTCCTGGGGTGGTACGGGGGCCTCTTGGGGGTCTCTTGGGGCCTCTCGGGGGCCTCTTGGGACTTTTTGGGGGCCTCTTGGGGCCTCCAGGGGACCTCGCTGCGCCTGGAGCTCAACATGTCCCTTAACGTCCCTCGTCTGGGCCCGCTCTTGGAGCCGTCTTCGGGAGGTCATCACCGGAGATGGTTCCGCTGGGCCGGAGTGGGAGCGGAAACCGGAACCGGAAACAGGAAACCGGAAACCGGAAAACAGCGAAGAAAGAAGCGGAGGCCGACGGCAGACGACAAGAATCGGAAAACGGAAAAAGGAAAACGGAAAACGGAGAAGAAAGACGCGGGGGGTGACGGGAGAGCACCGGAACCAGAAAACGGAAAACGGAAAGCGGAAACCGGAACCAGAAAACGGCAACGGGAAACCGGAAAGGGGAAAACGGAAAACAACGAAGAGGGAAGCGGAAGCCGACGGGAGACCACCGGAATCGGAAAACGGAAAACGGAAAAAAGAAAACGGCGCAGAAAGACGCGAGGGACCACGGGGAAGCACCGGAACGGGAAATCGGGAAACGGAAAACGGAGACCGGAACCGGAAACCGGAAAACGGAAAGCAGAAACCGGAAAACAGCGAAGAGGGAGCCGGGAGCCGACGGCAGACCACCGGAATCGGAAAACGGAAAACGGAAAACGGAAAATGGCGTAGAAGGACGCGGGTGCCCACGGGAGAGCACCGAACCGGAAAACGGAAAACGGAAACCGGAAACCAGAACCGGAAAACGGAAACCGGAAAACGCAAAGCGGAAAATGGAAAACGGAAAACGGAAACCGGAAACCGTAAAACGGAAACCGGAAAACGGAAAACGGAAAACGGAAAACGGAAAGCGGAAACCGGAAAACGGAAACCGGAAAACGAAAATCGGAGGAGGAGGAGGAGGAAAAGGAGGAGGAGGAGGAGGAGAAAGAGGAAGAGGAGGAGGAGCCTCCCTTCCTCCTCTCTCCCTCTTGCCCCCCCCCCCGCCCCTCCTCCCTCCCCGTTCCCTTTGCCAGGCTTCCTCCCTCCCTCCCTCCTGCCTCCCCCCTCGTTGATCCTGCCCTCACCTCCCTGTCTCCCTCCTCGTTCCCTCCTCCTCCTCCTCGTCCCTCTTCCCGAGCGGAGCCGGCGCGCGGGCTGGCCAGACCGAAGGACAACGACGATCTGATTTCAAGAAGCCCCCAAAACGTTCCAAGACTGCTCCAAGAGGCTTCCGAGACCTCCAAAGAGGCCCCCAAGAAGCCAAACTCCTTCAAACACCAAAAGAAAATTAATGATTTTTGCTTTCTCGCCTTTTCGCTTTTGATGGCCATCCGAAGCCTCAAGGTGCATCCAAAATGGCCCAGGAGAGCCCCAGGAGAGGCCCAAGAGAGCCCCAGGACGGCCCCAAGAGCGCCCCAAGAGCGATCCAAGAGAGGTCCAGGAGGCGATTGTCGGTGCTCCCAAGGGGGGAGGCAAATTGAAGCTCACCTTTTTGTGATCGATGTCCTCCAAGATGGCCCCAACAGCGCCCCTAAAGCTCCCAAGAGCGGCCCAGGAGGGCCCTAAGAGGCGCTCAGGCAGCCCGAAGATGCCTCCAAGAGGCTCCCGAGAGACCCTATACGAGGCCCCAAGAGGATCTCCGAGGTACCCAACTCTCCGTCCTTTTCCTCCTTCTCGTCATCCTCGTCCTCGCCCTACTCCGCCTCCTCCTCCTCCTCCTCCTCCTCCTTCGACGACGACGATTCCTCCTCCATCCTCCCCCTCCTGCGGTATATGACGGCGTCCCCCGCCCTTTGTCCTTCTGCATGCTCCCCCACTTCTCGTATCATCTCAACTCTCCTGGGCATCGTTTCTGGATGGGCTGGTGGGGATATGTGAAGCGTCAACAATAGCAGCGCGTTCCTCGATTACCGATGACAAATCCCACCAGTCCTCTGGGCGGAGGTGGTCTACGGCGTTTCCTCTGGTAGCTTTCCAGAAACCCCTCTCCCTACCCTCTCCCCTGGACCTCGCCGCACCCCCTGCAATATTCGGCAAAAGAGGGGTGCAAAGATTCCGTGCTGACCCTGCAACACCCTGCAATACCTTGGAAAACGACCCTGCAAACCAAACCCCTGCAGTACCATGCAATACCCTGCAAACCACCCTGAAATACCCTGCAAAACGACCGCGCGCCCTCTGGGTGGAGGAGGTCAGAAGCGGTTCCTCCGCACGCTTTCTAATCCCCGAGCCCGCTGGGCGTGAGTGGTCTAGCAAATTGCCTCTTCCAACTCCCCTGCTTCGCCTTCGGGGAGGGGCCTACCATTTTTTCTCATTAGAATGATACCGGAGAAAAGACCCAATCAGGGCTATAGGGCTAGGGGGCTATAGGGCTATTGAGCTATAGGTCTATAGAGCTATAGGGCTATAGAATTGTAGGGCTGTTGGGCTATTGGGCTATAGTGCTTAGGGCTATAGGGCTATAGGGCACCCCCGGGCACGCCCGGGCACCCGGGCACCCGGGCCCCCTGGCCCCCCCGGGCACCCCCAGGCACCCGGGCGTGCAGCGAAAATCGGCGACAAACCTAACCTAACCATATGAATCCGCTATGACCCCTACAGAAGCAAGCTCTGATTGAGGAATAAACACCCCCTCCCTGGCCCGACTGGCAGCCAATCTGGATCCATAACGACACCCATGGCAACACCCCCACAACATCCCTGTCAAAAGCCATACAACATAAACTTTGCCTCTGGAGCCTGGAGCATGCGCGGGCATCCCACGACCACTTAGCATGGGGTCTTGACAAGGACGGCGGCGGTGCCGGCGCATTGTTCGCCGCGCGCACACCCGCACACAACAATCCCGCCGTCACTGTGTATGGTTTTTGGCAGGGACGGTGGGAGGGTCGACATATTACCCAATGTGGCGCACCTGGTCCGCGTGGCGCAGCTGACATGTGCGGCCCATCTCGCGGGCTTCGCGCACCTGGCTGGCGTTTGCATTGGTTCCCGATAGCTGTCGATGGTGGCCCCTGTCCATGCTGAAACTCGGGTGCTTCTTATGTGTTGGGAGGGCGGGTGGGAACAAGCGAGACGGCTTGTTGCTTGTGGGTAACT